GGGGGACGCTTATTTAATTTTTCCCAAATCGTAGCCTGACATGATCATTTTCTTAATATATCACCTGCGCGTAAACACCAACATAAGCTGTTTCTTGACATAAAAAGCTGATCCTAAAGTTTAAATCGCGGCACCGTTAGTACTTAACGTGTTCAACGTTTTCACTAAACGTGTTCACAAACTGAAACAATTTACAAATCTACTACTACATGATGAAAACTATACACCCTTTGTTGTCTCATTACTCGTCCACAAAAAGGGGGGAGGGGAGGGGGCGCTTAGTTTAATTTCGGCCGATAGGAGGGGCGCTTATTCGAGGGGGAGGGGGCGCTAATTCGAGGATTTACGGTATGAAAGAGAATGGCATGATCAGTGGCTATCAGAACCCTTTAGTGCGATGCGAAGTAAAAATTGAAATTTAGCAAGAAATGTATGGGCTTAGTATAGTAGTGTTTTTATCCACCAGGAATTTTACAGTTTTCAGCAAGCTTATATCCCCTTCAACATGACATGACATTGTGGGAGCTCAAAATAACTCATTAACATGACCCATTACGGAGTTTCACAAACCCGCAAGTTTCATATAGTACCATGTCTTCCCTTGTCAAAGTCATATGCTAATGAGGTCAACAAATGTTTCCGTTATTAAGTCCTTGCAAGCTTAGCGATTTTACTGCAATCTTACGTCATTATGCTTACAACATGTTTGCCAGAGTTGTACTGTATTAAAGGCTTACCATTGACGACTTGCTTCAGATGCCCAAACTTAGAAGTGTGTTTTGCCTCAGGATCATGGCATTCATCGTCTGTATAGCTTCTGCGGCTCGGTGAGGGACTTTTGCGAGGCAGCATGTTACTATCCTCCTCTGAATTCGGTGAACGGGAATGTTTAGCTACTGCACAAAAAGAACATCAGATCGAAAATAGAATATGTATGAATTCGCTAGCCCTGTCATAAAATGTAATCATGAAACGCTGAAGAAGGGGCCGTGAATGGTAAATGCGAGACTTTGCGAGAACGGGAGACTAGCGTTTTGCTCTGCGAGCCCGCCGGAGATATTTTGACTTCCTCAATTGCGAGATTTTGAAGGACCATTCACCACCCCTTGCAGACACTAGTCGCAAAAAGTCTTGACAGCTGTCTTGATTTCTAACACCTGTCATAAGTTGTGATAATGTTTATCGTCTTTTTTAATAACGCACCTATCGCAAATTGCTCAAATGTTAATAAAAAATTGCCGCAATTTGGAATTAATAAGCCTAGCTCAAATTGTAATAGTACATTCGTGTATCTAATTTTACCCTTTGAAACAGCGACAACCAGTTTAAAAGGAAAACACTAAGAAAAAAATTGTGCTTACTAAATTTGAGAGAAATAGTTATTTTAGAAATCGTTCGGTCGCGTTTTTCACACATTTACATTTTAGTCTGGTAGTGAAAAGTATGCTGCACGATTCTATATCTAGCAAAGTTAAATTCCGGCTTCAGTTTGAGCTTTATCTTAATCTTTAGCTGGGTTTTATTTTTTAATTTCGCAATTGTCAAATTTTCAAGTTTTATACGAAATTGATTTTACCGCCGTCTTCTTTACCGACTCTGTAATTTTCGACGGCGGCTAATTTCACATCATGAAAAGAAAAAGCAACGAGAAACATAATGTCAAAGTAAAGCTTGAGTTCTAGCTTGAGTAAATTTCTTCACGTTTGCGCTATGTTAAGGAAGCGGACTTTACACTACCTGGTTGGTTGGTCAACTAGTTTTGGAGTTCGATATTCTCCATCCCTTTCGTTACGACAGTTGAACCTGTTTCACTAGGGACTGTGATGCGATACGACACTGACTAACATTGAAGAGTCCCGTTTTGATTGCAGCTTATTACACAAAACATAAAAACATGACAATGACCGACAATGTGTCGTTGCGTTTTACGACAGCTTGGCGGGATTATTAAAAATTTTCAGTTTTCGACAGGCAATTTATGAAGGGTATTCAGTCCAAAACGTGATAAATGTCAGATGTAACAATTTACACCAATTATTACAAAACACGACATTACTGCAGTTCGCGAGAATACCGTAAATCCTACAAGATAGAAGTAATAATGGTAATGTTAAAGTTTTAATGCCTTTTAATTCAAGTGATGCATATCCCCCAGAAATAATCTTTCTGGCTGTGACGTGAAATTCATGAAATGCGTCATGATCGCGGTTGTCTTGATCTTATCACAAGGGCAGCGGCGCCGGGAGCGGCGCGAGCACTGGATCAACTGAGTTTAGGTACAGCCGTGTCCAGGATTCCAAGCGCGCTGCCGCTTCCGCCTTCTTTCGACTTTGGGTTGTCTTCGCTAAATCTACGTTCGTATAGCTAAATTCTTTACGTCTTTCAAGAACTGCGCGCTCCCTGTTTTAAAATATCCTGACTGCATTCGTGCTCGATTCAAGCTTCGATCACCACTCCATAGATTAAGGAGTCCCGCTTGGTTCTTTCTTGCATATTTATCAACTCAGCGACTTTCATGTACTGTTGCCATTTTATCAAAAACAAAATAAAAACATTAGTGGTTCCAGGCTTCTTGTCCGCCCTCGCGAACTATTTGTATCTATTACATTTTTACCGGGGTATAATTAATAGTATTCACCTTGAATAGAATTGTATTGAAAACTCGTCACGCAGAAAAGCAATTATTTTGTCTTTGAACGAGGTTCCCAATGTTTTTCACTATGGGCGAATCACTGAGAGCCCGCATATAGTTAAATAATAGCTGAAAAGGTGTTTTTTCTTGATTTGACAAAAGCAGACTGAAATATTTATATTTTGGAAGATGTGACAAAGACAAACTTGTTCGAAATTTCTTACGTAAATCAGTACAAGGAAGTCGTGATATGCCATAATATATCCTTGCTGTTGTTAATTTTCAAAACATAGCATGCCTCAATATGACCGAAGGAACGCATTGAAAAGCTTTTTAAGACTGAACGCCAGCTTGCGAAACGATGTTGGACTGAATATCCAAGAAAAGTCATTTGAAAGAATAATTCATCGGCAAGATTTATATTTGCATACAGGTGAATTAATATATATGCTTGTATTCCTTCACTTGTGAGATATAAGAATCTTTGAATATAACATTATTCTTGAAAACCGCCTTAAAAAATCTTTCCTGCATCCAAGCCGTTAACAGAGAACTATATATAGACAGTCAACTAAACACAAATGAAACAAAGGTGGAGAAAAGAATACCACATTTTGCATCGACTTGCAGAATCCTTTTTAGTTTTTCGCAAGGCTCAAACTCGGCAATTAAGCAACTTTCAAAAATCATACACTCAATAAGCCGGTGCCCTTGGATGCAAGAATTACAGGAGTTAGCTGAAAACCTGTATTTCGAAGCATAGTTATTATATATGAGCACTGGTTTATTATTTTAATATTTTCCGCTCGTAAAATGTCATTTTGCGAGAGCTGAACTTGACTACAATTCCCAGTAATAGACTGTAACGTAATTGTAAACACGCCATATCGTGCAAATTCGCTTGACATGTATACCAGCGCGCAGCTCAGGATACGTCGAAAATCAACAGTGTAGCGTGACTTTAAGGCTTACCTTGAAACATTGTTTTGTTCGAGCTTTCAGCGCCACCCATGCTGACCCATGATGTCGAGTTGTCTTGCTAATAACTATTCCAGCTCATATCAATGTTTTGCTACCTTTCATTCCTTCTGCAACTCTCTCGGAATCGAATGAATAATTAACGATCTTAGGGCAGGTACTCACGGGTAGATTTTTACATAATTATCGTGCCATGGGAAGAAACCATGGTGACTGACACGGTTTTAATAACACGGCCTAATACTCAAAGACTCCTCACAGTTTAAGGAAGTCGTGCTGCGAGAACTATCAAATTAAGAGATCAAACGCTTTCAGTGAGCGCGAACGATCACGTACAAAGGTTAAATTTGAAAACAGCTGCGGAGCGGAAATGAAGTTTATTCACCAACTGTTATTGAACCCTTTTATAACGTTCAGGATAACTTTAAAGACCATTTTTGCACCATCTTCGTGCTACTATGGCAATCCTAGACATATGATGGTCTAACACTTTCTTCACCATTAAAGAACATCGATTTTTTTTTTCTTATTATATCAATAGACAGTTGCTGTCAGAACGGAATAAAGCTTGACTATCCGCTGTCAGATACAGGAAATTACCTATCAGCGAATGCAAAGATATATAAACGACAATTATTAGAATTAATAGTCCAGCTGAAACCGCAGAATATAAGTTGAAATTTAAAATATTCCTTATACTCAACGTAGCTCGGCGTTTCTTAGATCACGGCAAAAAAAAATTAACTCGTCTTTCTTTTGGCGCAGTTTTCCTTGCTTACCTTAATTATATTGTTTCCAACGTCATGGCGATAACTTTGTAGATAAAGACTATGCACGGAAGGAATTCTCATTTCTTTATGACTTAACATGCTAATACAAAAGAAACCTACAATATAAGCTAACACGAAGTTTCGATTCTCTCGTATGGTTGCCTTGCAGGATAGATTTGGCCCGGACTTTTGAATCGTGGACAACGAAAATTAAAATAACTCACGCACTTTGCATAAATCTGGAGTTTATTTGTAAGAAAGATATACATAAATGACAATGGTGTTTTTAATAAGACTAATGCTATTAATTCCTTTTACGTTTTTAATTCTGCAAATTACAAGAAATTAATTGTTAATTCCATGTTAATTTTCATTGGCCATAGACATTACATTTAAATACATATCCTGGTCTTCCACTTAATAAAATTTTTCCTTCCGAAATAGTTTGCACAATTACATAGCTACTATGAAACTGCAAGTCAGCTCAGAAATAAATAAATTCAATTTATAAAAGGCTATAACTATGTGTTAATTTGAAGTAAATATCCATTCTTGATATCATGATCAAGACTTCACTTCTCCATTCACAAACCACTTCTCATTTTTGGAAAGTCTACCACCATGTAATTTGCCACCACGTACAGGTCGCTTAAAACACACTGCGAAATATGACAGGCCACTGTGTTCAGGGACTGGGGCCGAATGGGTGTAAAGGAGTGCTGCTGACCAGCTGTCATGTTGAGCGCGGGAAGATTTCTGAGTTTTCTATCCTGAAATGAATCACACAGGGAAGCAGGATGGGTATAGATATTAACAAAGTATGGTAACCTCTCTTTCCGGCATTTAACAGCACGCTTATCGAGTGCCATACCTTTGTTAATGTAAGTGTTCTTTACCGCGTCTACAGTTTGCTTTTTATCGCTGAACTGTTTCTGATTACTCAAATGAATTTCCATTTTGTTTTTGGAGACTTAGTCAATAACAAAGCCAACAACTGGTTGTCGGTGTATCTCATTACAATCCGCTACTTTAAATTCTACGCGTCTTTGCACCAGTTACATTATTTGCTGGGAGGCTTTAAAGGCGGTGACATATGCATGTTAGTTTGTTCCTAGCACTTACTGCCAGAATATATGCAGATTTGTTACAAAAATTGACTTACAATTTTGACTGCCTTTGTGATCAAGTCTTTCAATGGATCCCGCATAAAGTCGTCTACTTTCTTCAGATAAGCTGGAGGTGTTGCCACTTTCTGCACACGTGACAGCTCTGCCATTGATTGCGCAAGCTCTTGAATGTATCCGAGAGTAGCTCTTCGGTGAAACTCCAAGAGCGTGCTTCTCTGTAAGATATTAGGCACAAAAATATTGTTATATACTGAAGTGTAAGTTTTTTTAATTTGGTGAGTGGTATATGTTCTGTCGGTAAGGATCACACATGTTCGCCTGCAGGATTGTATTGAAACCAGTTCAAACCAGCCTTGTTCATTTTCGATGTATTATCGCTTCATCAGTCCTACCTCAATAAATTCAGTAAGTATTATTTGGATATTATTTTCCCTTTCAGTCTAAATTTCAAAACGCAGGGACCTTTGAAAGTACCCGTTTCGACGAGGTGTCTATCTAAGTGGGTTTCATTTCCTGCCAACGGTCAAGTACCTAGTGTAAACCTTTATCTTGTGGTTTCAATGTCCGATCACTGTTGCAATTTGCCATTATAACAATTTGCCAAAACAAGAAGATTAAAGACAACAGATGAAACAGTACAGCAGTAAAATAGTGTGAAAAAACAAGTCTTACCAATGCATTTTTCCTGCTAGATGTGGTTAAATTCATATTCGCCATCAGTGAAAGGGTCAAGGAGTTGCATGTAGGGTTACAGAAATCTGTGACGTTAAACTCAAAATTCTGAAAATAAATAAAAAGAGAAATTAAAGGTGTAAATCACTAGCATAATTTTTTTGCGTCAATGTATAGCTTCGATTCCACTGAGTTTTGGACCTCTCTGGGCCGGCGAATGCTGAACAACAGAATATTCTTTGCTTCTTGATTCTCTGAAGTGAAAAAAATTATCATTTCATGACTGACAGAAGAACTCATGATGTTAATGTATACTTGAAACCCCGGAGCTACTAGCCTACCTGTTCCCTAAAACTTGCAGTTCGATCTTTTTTACATGAGATTAAGAAATTGATAGAAAGCTGTTTACCTATAACAATTTTATACGCTTCACTTACCGTGTAATTGTAAGCTCTAGCTGTCAAGCCAGCCAGGAGACGTGACGTAGGAATCAGTGCAGTGATAGTATTTCGTAAGTCCCGACGAAGGCCGAGGATCCCCGAGCATCGACCCCCACGAGGGCAGCCGGCAAGTGCAGGATTATCGTTAAACATAACCAGGAGAAGAAATGTAGCACAAATTATTGGGAAGAATGTTGTTCGAGGACCTGCGAAATAAAAATAATATTAAGAATAAGTATATGCAAAAATGAAATAAGGTTGAGATTTACAAGTTCTCCTCAATTGTCAAAAAATATCACGGAGTTGCGATTTTTTTCGCAGAGTGAATTATGATTCTGCCTTTTGCTTATGATGTAACCGGTGTTCTCATTGCGACGTATGCCTTTGCTTAACATAGGCACAGAAGTATGAAACATGTTTGCTCCGCTTGTTCCGTGTTCAAGTGTCTTCACTTACTTATCCCTGATGCACCAGTCAAAACCAGCCTCAAGTTTTCACGACTGTATCGTCATCAATTGCAACTGTTTTTAGTATGTATCTTTTTTTAAATTCTTCTAAGGAGGTGGAAAATTATTTTCAGAATAAACTGAATCTCTTCGTGCGTCATATTTACATCCATTCCGAATCTTTTCAGTCACTTGGTCTTTTTGATCAAAATTAACGCGCAGAGCATTTTAGAAGATCTTATAACACTGCCAAAAAAAATTGGTGACTGAGTTTATTGCCTAGAGTAATAACCTTTTGAAATAAAGTTCACTAACATCATACACTGACTCACACAATCAAACTGAGACGAACAAACATTGTAGAAACAATGTGATGATACGTTTTGAGAACTAAAACTTTTCAGGTTACTGGGAAAAGTTCATTGTCAGACAAAATAACCAAAGGTGGAGTTGAAGAACATTTGACCACTGGTCGAAGAGAAATAAATAACTAATTATTGTGGCAAACAACGCCAGACTAAGGTTTATACAGGTTAACAGGTTAGCTGATAATACGGTCTGTCATTGGATAACACAACTTGTACACTTACTTGCCATCTTGTCTTTTCTTAAGCCGTTTTTTTCCAACTTGAAAATTCTCTTGCTGTCCGCTTTGAAGTTGTAGGTTTGAATATTGAACCATCGAAGTATCCATCTTTATATACCTATTTTCAAGTTCCTGCTTTGTCAGTTGAAGGTCTAATTTAAGAGTTTTGAGCAAGTTTTCTTTCCCGACTGCTACAAGAAGCAATGAAAAGTTGCAGAAGTTTTGCCATCCGGTGTCTAAATTAAGTTTCTTCTTTAGTCATCCGAACAGGTGGCAAAGCAAACCCTACAAAACTACTTTGCAATTTCGTTTCTCAAGCATCTACAAATATCTCTAAAGTGTAATTTATTTTGGTATTCAAGACAGTCTGGTTAATACAAACAAATTTCAAAAACCTTAACCAATAACTTGATGGTTCATGTTTTAACAATTCAGTCTTTTATAACTAAATTAGGACAATAATCATGTCAGTCATAACTTATAGTGGTAACAAAACAATGTTATTAATTTTTGCTGAATTTAATAATGATTATGTCTCCCACTGTTGAATCAAACCACGTCCGCTGTTGGAACTTCAGGCGGGGTTCTTCCGATTACCATCAGTTCAACAATACATCGGATAACTCTTGCTGGCGAGCCTGTGTTGCATGGAATGCCTAAAGGCGTTTAGTCCTGTAGCGATTGATTCTGAGCACTTATGAAGCACGAGACAAAATGTGCGGTTTGTTGAGACATTGAAGGCAAAAAAGATGCAACTTAAACGTCTTCGCTTCGTTTAGAAGGAGAAATCTTCCGCTTGAGTCATTTGTTGTCATTGCTATATTTACATCCATGATAATTTCAAAGGTAAGCAAACTGCGATTGTACTAATTTTCAAACAATTCCTGTCTTCGTTTATGTTCCTTTTATCTGCAAGGGTGTGTAACACAGTGCTAATTCAAGAAAATCCTAATTAGGTTTCAATTCAGTTTGGTACAGACCTAGAACATGAACATGTTCTTAGATCTCATACGAGCAGAGTGTATATCCCATGTTTTGATTCTGCAGTCGACGTGAGTCAAGTCAGTACAATATTAGGCAAACCGTTAGTATAGCATCCAACTCTACTAGCTTTCCTCAATTGATTTTAACGCAGATATTGCTCATTTGAAGAAAGTCTCAGTCTCTTTAAGTGGCCGGGTAATCAGCTGGTCTTGAGGGTATAAGAATTGAAGAAATATCATGGGCGACTTGTACTTTTGTCTTGTTTACACCGACTGAAAACAATGTCATTGAATTTTAAAAAGTTCAAAGTCAGATTATGTTTGTCAGGCGTGGGATGGATATAAAGAAGGTAAACACAGGGAGACGCTGCCTACTATAGATAGAAACAAAATTTGATCGTGTGAGCAATATAGAAGCGTTTGAGAATATGTCGATGTCGC